GGCAAAAATGAGCTTTTTTGAAGTTTTCCAGGTCCGCATTGAGTGCAAAATACGCGTATAGGCGGAGTTCGAAAGGAGAGCATTGAATGCGGACCTAAAAAGCATTGAAAAAGTCTCATTTTCGCCATTTTCACGCGCAGAAAAGCCCAGATGTGAGTTTCTCATGGCGAGAAGGTCCCGAAAAGGTGCTGGAAAACGAAATTCTGCCGAGCCGCTGCTCTAAGGAATTGCATAAGTCTCGCTGCAAAAGATGAATTCCAAAGCGAGAAAACCGCTCTAGAAGGTAGAAACGGAAAAGCTAGCTCCGCCCATCATCGTGGGCTATAAAGATAACAAGTCCAAATTTGGGCTTCAATGTAAACAAAATTTTTGAAGACCTGCTCTTCATTAAGACTATCGAATTTGCAACGCTTTCCAACCTACAGTCCAATACGGAGTTAAATCTTTAGACCACCTATGTTGATGGGCGGGGCTAACTTGACCTCTTCTGGAGCTACTTTTTCGCTTTGAGATCCATCTTTTGCAGTGGAACTTGGCGATTGCATAGTTAGAGACTTTATTATGTAATATCAACATCTCATCACCCTCAAGTTAAATGCACAGTGCCTTCAAAAATCAGTCATTCACCTTTTAAGGTCTTTGTTCGACTTGGTGAAGGCACTGTATTTGGAGAATTATCCATTTTGAACATTCCTGGTAACAAAAATGGCAATCGTCGTACAGCTAATGTACGATCGGTTGGCTATTCGGATCTCTACGTACTTAGCAAGGACGATTTATGGGCTGCTCTGAGGGAATATCCGGAAGCTAAATATTCCCTCATGGAAAAAGGTTATTTATAGGGAAAATTCGATTGATTTTTGCAAATTCTGAATTTCAGGGAGAAATATCCTGGCAAAAGACAATTTACTAGAAGAAGTGGCAGATGAAGAAGAGCTCGATCAAGATGCACCAGTTGAAGAACAACTAGCTTATGCTGCTAGAGTGATTAAAGAGATTGAGGCACAATTGGATGAGGCTGAGAAGAAGTTCTATGTTTGTTACCTCATTTTTTTCTTGTAGATGAAGTTTTCATCCTTCTTTTCCAGAATTCATCGGCCAAAGCGAAGCAAAAGCTATACAGATTAGAGCAAGAAATGGATCAAGATCTTAAGTGGATGAAAGAAGAGAAAATCAAAGTTGGTCGTCCAAAAGCAGCTTCATT